GCCACTGAATTGCAATGCTGGCGTCCATTCGGTCCTCTTCGCACCAAGGCTTCAGAACAAATTCCAGATCCCATAATTTATCAACGTGCGTTTTGCGATCAACGTTCTGCTGGACCCACTCTGAAAGGTACTGGGCTGCCCGACCCAGGCACCATGGATCCTGGCTCACAGCTTCAGCTGTCTTCAGATATTTCTTGGCCAAGTCCTTCCCTATGGGATTGCGCTCCATGACCACGAGATTCGATCCTGGGGTGACCCTGGAAACATCTAAGAACTGGAGATCGGACGCCCGCATCACAAGCTGAGGTGGTTGCGATGATGGGAGGAGGATAGCAGTACAGATCCAGTTCTATTGGCCCTCATCCTTCCTCGATTTTTAATAAGGAGGGGCTGCGGAGGGCCAAGCGAACAGACCTGTACAGCTTTTCTCCTCCCAGATAACATCTTGCTAGACATGTAATGCTTCACCAGCAGGAACACGTCGTCGCCTCGCAAGTCACTGCATGAACAACGCGTGAACTTCCCAAGATCCAATTGTTGAGTATCGCCACTAACCACCATGTCCTCGTAGCGCACGAACATGTACAGATGTGCCGACCCCTTCCCAGCATGGCCACAGAATGGATTGTTGAGAGGAGCAAAATAGTTGGTCCAGTTGCGAGCCACGTGCAGTTGTTCGACCACAAGGCTCCTGCCTCTGGCAGGCTTCACTCTCCGTTGCATGATATCAATCACATCTGTCAAATTTTCCAGCAAGCTTTCTCGTGCGAGGATGGCTCCAACTACGCTGAATCTCTGGTCCTGATCAATGTGCGTGTGCCCGACTTGCATGCCAGCCCACGTTGAAGTCCTGAAACAATGCCGGGCAGTGAGGTACGATAAGAACGTGAGAACTGTGGTGTTTCTGTTTTCCCGCGTCGTATTATCAACTTGAAGCCACAGGTGCCGTGGCATCATTGCGCCTCTAGAAGCCAATTCTGTCTTCGCTTGTTCGATGACGCGGCTGATCATCTCAATCGTGCTGTTCGGGTCTTTCCTGACATCGGCGTCAGCCACAAAGTAGTGCTCAGCAATACCATGGCACGTCGCACCAGTAAAATGAAGCTGAGGCCTGAACGATGTATCCCCATCCGCCTGCTGCCAATCCAAATGTCGTGGCATTTTAAATTTTGATTGATCCATTCCATCTATGCAAATCACAAGGGTGGAGTCATCTGGGGCATCAGCACCAGGCCTCGTAGCCGCCTCGGACAGAAGGCACTTGTGTTTGTAGGTAGCACGGTCCTCCCGCATAATTCGAAGATGGCCAGCTAATCCTTTCCGAATGGCGAGCTTCTCTTGGTCAGATATAGCCTCAGCGCGTGCAAGTCTATATTTTGTGCAGGCCTCGCACACTTTATGTTGCCCTCTGGTTCTGAATAATAGTTTCCCTTCCCAGTGTGTAAAAGCACGGCGAAATGTTGAGTAGCTGCAGCCATCCTCCTCGTTACCGAGGTCGTCCCACCATTCGCCAAACATTTCGTACAGCTCTTGCCATGTCAATGGGCTGAGGTATCGTGGTTGAAGCTCTGCGATTCCACGTAATTCTGGCATCGCCTGGACATCGATATGCACGTCATCGTACCTGAACATAGATTCATGAATGGCGCCGGGGCCCGCGGTGTCCTCTTCATCGGTGACTCGTCCTTCTGCGAGGCTCTCTGCAACATTCGTGTACAACCATTCGAAATACGCGTGAGCTTTCACATGCTCGCTGTTGGCATATTCTCTGGCAGAGGTGTGCCGCCCATCAGGAGGTGGTCCAACGCCTCCATTGTCCACATGATGTTTTATTCGGTCGAACCGCTTGGTAGACAAGCCGACCATGTCGCAAAATTGCTTACGCCCCGACAATGTCTGACCAAACAAAACAATGTGATGTTTCGGCATGTGCTTGATCAGTTCACAAATATGAACATTCTGCCGCTCACGGTCCCAAGATACAAAGTCAGCTCTCAATTTTGCGAGTTCCCCCCGCAACGGATCGAACTCGAACGGCGTATGTGATACAGCAGTGTCAACACCTGTACCAGCTGCACCAGGTCCACAGTGTTTGAGCGCATCAGTCACAGAATCACTGCCATCGGAAGTCAAATACTGCGATGAATCATCACTGATCGCGATTTCTGCGCTGCTCTCATTGCAATCAACTCCTATGCCAACATCGGTATCGGATTCGTCAGACACTGCAAGCATGAGCCCAAAAGGCTATTCGGATAAAACGGAGCAGTGCTCCTGGAGGCGTGGGCGAGGCGCTGAAATTCAAGTTCACAATCAACCAGCCCAAAAAAGGCTTCGATGATGATGGATGTACGCGCGATGGGCCCCACGTAGCCCCAAAGAGGCCCAACTGGTCCCAAGAGCCCTAAATGTCTTCAAGAGCCACAGAGTACCCAAGAAACCTTCAGGCGGCCATCACTGCTGACCTTCAGAGTCTTAGTGTCTCAATATTCCCAAGTACCTAAAGAAATATAGAGATGGCCCTAAGTGGCCTCAACAGCGGTTCAAACGAGCCTCCTGAGGGTCCTCGACAAGAAGTTTGATTGTGCGAGATGTCTTTGAGGCGGTTCTCTTGGTCGTCCTCAAGCCCTTTTTAGGACGCGCATGCGATTTCAGTTCCCGACGGTGAATGGGCAAGCGAGGGATAGGAGGCACGTGAGGCCCACGAGGAAGAGAAGGAGCCGAGGAGGAGAAACACACTGAGGGAGTCAGGGTGGATGAGGAGGAAGGAAGGAGAATGAGGAGGCGATGGTTGGATAAGGAGGAGGAGGAGGACAGGAGGAGGGAGGCGATGGGATCTGAGTTCTTTTGAGATGATGGGAATTCTTTTGATATGACGAGTCGTTAAAATGGCGTGGCCCAATAAAAGAACGCATCTGTATGTCGATATGTTGGAAGATCATCGCATTGCCCATGATTTCCGGAACGTGAACGACCTGTCTGACAGCAACACGGGCCTGCTTGCATGTGTAAGGGCGAATGATAGAGCTTTATTCGCCAGAAAATTGTCGTAGACACCGACGGGCGCAAGGCTCTTCGTTGATGAAGCAGTTGCCCGCGTGCCATTTAACATCGTGCATTTTCTCTTTTCCACATTGGCGGTGGCAATGCGTGTTGGAAGTCTTGGGGCGGAGACAGTGACCCCGGTCCTCTGTGGAATTAGATACCCATGTTGGTCCGCAATGAAATGAACAGACGGATTGCACATTTCTGGGCCTCCAGCACATGTCCAAATATCGTAATCCTGGACGGCTCACTGCTGCATGAGAATCTGAAACACCCGCGCAATGACAATTATGAGTTACGAGAACAAAAAAGGCAGTCCAATGAAGGCCTCCGAACTGCTCGCAGAATGCATTGTGAAGACGAGTGGGCTTGCGGGATTCTTCTATGCGCGGCCGTGCGGTGGCTCGGCAACGGGTGGTGGTCGCCCACAGGTAGGACTGCGACAAGCAGCGATCCGGTATCATTGGCAGCCATGCTGGGTGAACTGGGACACAGCGCAGGGGAAGATGCCCACTTCCACATTTCGCGCCAAGCAAGTGAAGGAACAGCTAACGACGCGAGAGTTCGCTTATACCCATGGTGCGATTTAGCTTTCGGGTCCACGTCGAAGAAGGCGAACCGTGGGTTCTGATTCGAAAGGGACATCATTGGCACAGCATTCATATTGGGCATGCCCCCCGCTGGTGTAGAGCGTGTCCCTTTTCAGAAGGATGCGGCCATGAGAGATGCTGCTGGTCAAGTGTGGTTGGAACATCGCGGATTGCCCTTGCCCGATCCCTCTTCCCATTCAGTTGTGGCGCATGGAATTGGCCCGAGTACCATTCCATTTCTATGAGATGCTACTGAAGGGCTGATGACAGGGCAATGGTAGTCGATGCTCCCATCGACCCAAGGGTCACGCGCAGTCCCGGGTCTCAGAGTGCTGAACTCTCACGGTGGAGAGCCTGGCCGAGTCCGTGGATAGCGACTTCCGCTACATGCGCTCCTTGAGTAAGGGCTGGGCCCCGATTCCGGGAAGCAGTAATGGGAGACAGCTGAATGGTTGGCCGTGCAATGTCAAATTTGGCGTTGATCCAGCAACGGCCAGAAACGACGATTACGTTTATGATTGGCCGCCCCATCTGCCACGGCAGCGCGTCGTCCAAGGGAGAAACGGTGATTGCCCCCGCTAACGCCGCGCAGTTGAGGGTCAGCCGTCCTTGCAGTGCGACGAATTGATGGCTTGGGGAGACATGTGAATCAGGCACCCTGACATCGCGAAGCCAGTGAATTCATTTGGATTTTTGGAATTCTGACCCCTGGGGGCCCCTGGGTCAATATTGCTGGAGGGCAGAACAAAACAACATATATATATAATCCAAATGGAATCAGTGGGTTTCTGGGATTCCCGTCCCAGAAATCCCAAACGTCCAAATGAAGTCACAGGGTCTGGTGCCCCCGGGCTTCGTAAACATTGTGGTTTCACAAGGGTCGATGCTCCTTGGCTCCTCTCTCTCTTTCTCTTTCTCTTTTTTTTTGTTGTTCTCTCTCTCTCTCTCTCTCTCTCTCTCTCTCTCTCTCTCTCTCTCTCTCTCTCTCTCTCTCTCTCTCTCTCTCTCTCTCTCTCTCTCTCTCTCTCTCTCTCTCTCTCTCTCTCTCTCTCTCTCTCTCTCCTCTATCTCTCGTTCTCTGTTCGCCAGTTGCCCCCTGGATTTCTTCCGTTCGAGACCAGGGAACTTCATAAACACCGAAGCCGGAATGCAACCATCGGGTTCGGTCACTCTGTCGCGGCTGCGGAAAAGTCTTTCAATGTCAAAGAGCGCGCCTGCGCGAGAGACACGCCGCGCACGTTAAACGCAGCATTTCGCCGGGGCTCCGCGCGGGCACCACAATGCGGCGCACGTTAAACGCAGCATTTCGCCGGGGCCCCGCGCGGGCACCAAAATGCGGCCCGAGCTGCCGATGAGGCCGCCCACTCAAGCGCCATAGTCCTTGAGCCAGGCCTCGTGTAGCATGGCGCCCGTCTCATGCCAGAGGCCCTTCCCGCGGTTCCAGTGCGCCCGCTGGAAGCTGCGGATCTTCTGCTTGATGATCGTGGACCCCACGGCTTTGTTTTTCCCGATGAAGCGGCGGAGTTCGCGCCAGACGCCGTCGATGATCTGGGTGCCTGTCTTGACCCAGATCCGCTTCTTGGCGCCCGCCGTCTGCGGGTCAGGGACGTCGCGATGCCTCTTCTTGCTGTGCGACGGCTTGAGCCACGCCCACTTGCCCTTCACCTTGGCCTTCTTTTTCTTGTGGACGACCTAGTCGTGGACGACGCCGTGCTCCTTCAAATTATAAGACCGCGCCCCATCAGTGTGGAAGATGACGTTGCGGCCCCTCAACCATTTCTTCGACCGAGGCTCCCAATCCGTCTTGCGAATGGGCCCTGGGCCAGGGGCCCGACGCTTGGTCTTCTTCGGCTGGAGGCGGAACAGCACGAGAGACTCGGGGAAGCCGCGCTCCACGATCCCTCCCCACTGCTCCCTCGCCATCGGCGCCGTCGCACGGGGCCCCGCGTCGGGGTCCTCCATCTCCCCCAAGTCCACCTCGTCTGCTTGCACGTCTGCCCACTCCGCGCCCTGGCCGAATTTGATCTTCGGCTCGTTCGTGCGCGCGTGCTTGGCGCGCGCCGCGTGGAGCGAGCTGTAGATGCCGTCGACTGCCTTGTGGCTCCTCCGCACAAGAAGGCTCGTGGTCGCTTGCGGGCAGCCTGCGACCGCGCAGAAGAGAATAGCGGATTGGTCTGCTATGGTCGAGAAGGACTGGCCCGTGCCCACGTTGAATATTGGGTGGAACGAAGGCGGAGCCACGTGGCGAGTGCACCAATTTCGGCTGCAACGGTGCCCCCACCCGCCCTTTTTCTGTCCGTGGTCCTTCAGAGGCCCCAGCACGCCCTCGCCGCAACGCGGGCAAGTGGAGCCCTCCCACTTGTGCAAGATCTTCTCTTTGCGCAGCTTGTCAATGGCAGACTTGTCGGAGTGGTTGATGAAGTCCTTGATGCAGCTCTCCCACGCGGCCCTGTCCTTCCGCCCCCTGGAGATGGCGGCGGTGCCGTGCCGAATGTAAGGGGCGTTCTTGGGGGGCGTGACCTTCTTGCGGTCGGCCTTCTTGACGGCGGGGCGCGTCGCCCGCGTCTTCGTGAGCTTCATGGGCGCCTTCGCGGCCTTCGCGCGAGTGCGCGGCGGCGCCATTGCTGCGCGGGCCTTCCTTCTCTTGGGGGCAGGGGAGACATGAGTCATCGCGCGCTGGGCGCGCGACGGGGCAGGCCGCGAACGCTGTCTTGCTAGCAGAACGCTGCCGCCAGAAACGTTTTGCCCCATTGCCCGCCCCCTGCGCGAGGAAAGCCCCCCTTCCCTCACCGGCGCGCTCGCTCTTTCTCCGGAAGTCGCCGCGAGCCTGGAGGCTGGGAACGGCGCGGCGCGCGACAGTCTCATGCGAAACAATGGCACACATGCGAAACAATCGCACGCGCGCGCCCCCCGATGCAGCGCGGTCTGGGGCGCGCGGCTAAGCCCGCAACAACTCTGCGGGCAGCGCGGCGAACGAACGTCTCATCTGGGGCGGAATAGCGCGCCTGCGCCCGCGGCCGCAAGCCTGCGCCTCCGCCCGAGACGCCCGCGCGCGCGCTGCCCGTGGCCTTTCGCTTGGCCCCTCACTTCGCGGCCGCGCCGCTGCTCGCTGCGCGAGCGCCTGCCTGATGCAGCTCTTGGTCAAGCAGCTGCTCCAGCTCCTGCTCCAGCGCGAGGCCCTTCGAGTCCTTCTTCGTCGGCGTTGGCGAGGGCGAGCAGAGGTCGATGCGGTTGCTGCCTGGCTGGAGGTTCTTCCAGACGCCCTTCTTGATCTTGACGCGCTTGGGCCCTGGCGCCGTTGGCGTGCACGGCGCGACAGGCGCAGGGTCGGCGTCCTCGCCACGGTCCATCTCGCCGCTGAAGCCGAACACATCCTCCTCATCGAACTCGTCGGGATGGCGCGGCGGCGCGGCCGCGGCTGCCCCAGCGCCACCTCCATCGCTGGCGCGCGCCGCGGCGGCGGCGCGACAGGTCTTCGCGTGCTTCGCCATGATCTGGGCCACCTTCCCAGACGAGAGCAGGTGGTCGTGCTCTTCACTGTCGCGTCGAACGCTGCAGCCCTGCAGGTGCGCCCAGAGCGCTTTGCCCGCGTCAGGCTTCAAGCACCCCGAGTACAGCGGATACGTCTCAACCTCATTATCCGTGCCAGCAGGGCGAAAGTAGAGACTCTTCTTCGTGTTGAGCGCGATGTTGCAGCGCTTCAGCATGGCCCCGATGTTGCTGCCGGAGAAGTTCTTGGGGAAGGCGGGCATCATCATGTCGATCAGGAACTGCGTTGTCTTCTTCGCCTTGTCTGGTCCTGTGACGGCAAATGCCCACTCTTCTGGCGTTGGCTCTGCGGCAGCGTTGTATTCGTTGTCCCCGCCGAGCCTCGCCTGGCCCCTCACGAACTTCGCCGCGCACCACCTGACGTACGTCATCGCGTTCATCTGGGTCGGGTCGAAGAACGCCTGCCGCGGACAGGAAAAACGCGCAGCTAGGCAGGTTCCCCGAGCAACGGGGGCATCTCGCGCCGCGCGGGTCGCGCGCGCCAGATGACCCCAGGGTCGATGAACGCTGTCTCAGCATACCTTTTTTTCTTCCCACCCATGCCTTGAGCACGCGGGGCCGCTGGTCGGAAAGGTCCCCGTCGTCGAATATGCAAGGCACAAATTTCTCTCCGACTTCCCCTTGGAAGAAATCCATGTCGGATGATACCCTCACGGCTGGGACGACTTCGTTGCCTTGCGTTTTCTCAACGTCGGCGTGCCACCGCGCCCTGGCCATCGCCAGGATGTACATGAAGGGTGTATAGCCCAAAGTGGCTACGCCAATAGTGAGAAGTGCGTTCGTCAGGAGGGTGGCCAGGATGCGCTTGGCGATGGGCAAGTACTCCGGGCGTACGTCATGAAGAAGGCACGGGTAGTAGGTCTCCTTGCATGCGAACTGGTCCCTATCTTTGATCTTCCTGAGCACCCTGTCAATTAGTTCGCGCCTGAAGTGGTAGATTGGGCTATCTGGGTCGACAAGCTGGTGCTCGACCCACAACATCTGTTCGCAGTCGAAATCGCCGCGCGGCGCCTCTGTCATGATAAAGGCGAACCCGACGGTCAGCTTCCTCTGCTTCTCCTGCACGCTGTCCTCGTCCCCAGGCGCAGCGTCCGCTCGCGCGGCGACGGGGTCGATGAAGTTCCAGCACTTGAACAGGATGCCACCCATGTTCTCGAACATCAACTGGATCGTCTTCAGGGTTGTATAACGGTCGCGGGTCCAGTGAGGAACGAATGGCTCACCAACAACCAACTCCCGCTGGATGTCGTGGAATTTCTCGTTGTTCAGGAACTTGATGAATTTCACCACGATGTAGTCGCCGTCGGGGGGCTTAGACACGTGCAGATTGAGGAACATGGGGATCTCAGTCTTCGTGGGGAACCCCAACGGCGGGGGCAGGTCGTTGTAGTCCCCCTTCTTCATGATCTCATTGACCGCGTCCCAGTCGACAGTGGACAAATCGCCTGGGGAAGCGGCCACGTCCACAAGATAGCTGGTCGCCCACTGCTTGATGGGCAAGTCCCACGCCGTCGAGCTGCCCCGCCTCTCGATCTGGCCGACCATCTTCGCTTCCGCGAGCGCCGCAGGGGGCTTCCTCCCAGTCGCCACATCGAACATGCTGTAGAGAACGTCTTCGGTGTGATTCGGCCGATCCATGGTCTTGCCGACTGAGACCACCCCCATGGCACGGACGTTCGCCATTGCGAGAGGCGCCTGGCTGGTCCGCGGGAAAGGCAGCGATTGAACCTGGAGCGCCTGCCACTGCCTGCGGCTCATGTCCAGAGGCGGTGGAGCATTCGGATCAAAATCAATAGCCCCCCCGAGCTAGCGCCGAGGGCCGCGCGCCGAGCCCGCGCCTCGGCCGAAGCGGCGGCGCGCGGCGCGGCACCCGAGCGAGGGGCCCACGCGCGCGCGGCGCGAAGGCTGCTCGCCCTCCGCCTCGAACGCGACGTAGCGGTGAGCCGGCAGGCCCAGCTCGGCCTGGACGAGCCGTTCCATGAAACTCTAAGTAGTCGACCAATCCACCCCCCTGACGACCGCCCATCCAACGGTCTCAAAAGACGTCAGACGAACGGCGCACGTCCGAGCCTTGGATGCAACCGCAGATCGTGATCGCATCTGATCGCATCGGCCAGATCTCTGAAATCACCGCTCGGAATCGGATCGATCGGATCGGTCGCGTCGGAACAATCGCTGACATCGGCATCGACAATCGGAGCGATCGGCGGCATCGACCCAGACGTCGCGCACTGATCGCGCCAGGGTAAGCACCTGGTCGTCGCGGTCGATGAGAGTCGCGTGGGCCCCCAAGTCCAGGTGCGCGCGGACGATGACGGGGTCCGCGGCTTGGTCCGCGGTGGTCCAGATGTGGCCCGCGAAATCGTGCTCGACGAACAGGGCCGCGGTCTTGGCGCACTCGAAGAAGCGAGGCCACACGCACACGGTGAAGCGGTCCTGGGGGGGGCATGGGGCTACCAGATCCGACGCCCCGCCTCCCGCATCCCACCCTGCCTTCATTCCCCCCTCCACCGTCCTCGCCGGCATCCAAGCGCACAGACTGGTGACGCCCGACCTTCCGCCATGCGCCGGCTGGCGGTGCACCAGCGCCTTGCGCTGCGTCCCCAATGTACGCGTACTCGTACGCTGCCATTGCAGGAACTCGGGAGGGGCGTCCGTCTCTGGCGCGCGCTGGAGCACAAACGGCAGAAACCTGCGACTGAGCCCAAACAGCCGCGAGCTCAGGGACGTCGAAAAACACGTTGTCATTGGGTTGGTCCGTTTCCCCCCTCCGTCGGCTTTTTGTGGACCCCCAAAGTAAGGGGAATCTTGCCCGAGATCCCCCGACAGATGGATCTCTCTCAGATGCATCCACCTGGTGGTCGGAGTTCGAACGCCACTCCCTGAAGCGGGGGTAGCGGCGGGCCCCCCCGCGGCAGCGCGTGGGCGCGTCGTCAGCAGCCGCGCTCAAGGGTGCGTTTTCATTGGGTTGGTCCGCAAACCCCTGCGTCGATTTGTTTTTCCGAGTCCCCCAAAAGTAAGGGGATCTTATCCCCGATCCCCCGACAGAAGGATCTCGTTCAACATGCCGCCACCTGGTGACTTGGGGCCTGTCTCAGGCGCACACTTGAGCACAGGCGACAGAACCCAGCCGCGATCTCAGCGACGTCGAAAAACACGTAGTCATCGGGTTGGTCCGTTTCCCCCCTCCGTCGGCTCGTTTTTTCTAAACTCCCAAAGTAAGGGGGATCTTATCCAAGATTCCCGACAAAATGATCTTGCTCAAGATACCGCCACCTGGCGGCGGTCGCAGTTCGAACGTCATTCCCTTGGGTGGGGGGCGCGGCGGGCACGCCGTGCGGCAGCATGTGGGTGCGTCGTTAGCAGCCCCGTGCAGGGGTCGCGCGGGCGGCTCAGTGACTGCCCATGCAGCCATCCCTCAGGGACGAGCTGCCCCTCGAACCCCACTTCGCGGGGTGCAAGGTGAGCCAGGCCCAGCGCTTCTTCTCCCTGGGCGTCGCCCAGTAGTTGAAGCGAGCCTGCTTCGAGCGGAGGTCGGCGAGGGCGGCTTTGGCCTTGCCGAACTCCGTCTGCAGGTCCTCGTTGCTCTGCTCCAGCTTCTCCTTGTCCCGCGCCAGCCGCCGCAGCTTCTTGAGATCGTCTGCCTGCTCCTGCTTCTCAGAGGTCGCTGCGTCGAGCTGCCTCGTAAGCGCCCTGCTCTTCCCGCAGACAGCGTCGAGCTGAGTGTTGCAACGAAGGGTGGTAGCGGCCAGTGCGTCGCACAGACGCTTGTGCGAAGCAGCCTTGAAGTCCGTCATTGCCTCCTTCATGGCTTTCGCCATCCACTGTTTACCCGAAAAGTTGTTCACAACCTTGACGCGCGCCCTGCCCATATTGGCGATGCGCTTCTTCTCGAGCGCCGCTTTCGTCGAGGCTGGCATGATAGCAGAAAGTGAACAACTGGAACCAAGAAGGGCTACGGAAACGGGAGGATGAGAGAGCGAGGGGGGGGGGGGGGAAGAGAGAAAGAGAGAGAGAGAGGGAGAGTGAGAGAGAGACGAGGCGCAAGGGAATGCCATGTGGGGGGAGGGATAAGCGGGGAGGAAGGAAGGGGGAAGGAAAAAATGATGGGGATGGGGTGGGGAGATGGACGGCGATATTGAAAATAAGCATTAATAGGAAGAGTGGGAGCGAGCTGTGCACAGGCCGAGGCCCGAGGGGAAATCAGCGGGTGCTGTGGGTGCCGTGGGTGCCCCCAGGCTTCGTAAACATTGTGATTTCAAAGGGATCGCTGCTCCCTCGAGTCTCCCCCTTTCGCTCTCTCTCTGTCCCCCTCCGTCTCCGTCTCCCCCCTTCTCCTCTTCTTCCTCCTCCTCCTCCTTCTATAAGCAGAGACAAAGTGTGTGAGAGGGAGAGAGAGAGAGAGAGAGTGAACCGTTCAACGACCGATGCAAAATGAGTGGGTGCTGGGGGGAGGGGCTGCGCTATATGTATATATACATGTTTTTTGAGAGCACCTGATCATTACCATTACAATGCTGTTTCTGACGGCGCTATTCTTACTGTACCGCCAGTACGCCGATACCTACGTATTGGTTCCCGAGCGTTGTTTGTACCATGCTTGTACCACGCTACGGGTTACTGCGAAGTCTCGACACAGCAGCAGCATCACTTGAGCGGGCCAACCGTTCCCTCATCCCCTTCTCCTTCTCCTCCTTTTGTCAGGGTTGGTTGCACGTTGCCTCCCTCATTCAATGAGAAGCGGATCACGCTACGACGCGAAATTGATGTAGACGTGACCAGATATGAGCATGTAGTGATTTAATAAATCGTCTTTTTCGCAATCACGCACACCAGCGTTTTGCGCCAGACTCTGTATATTATTGTATGTAGCTCTATGCGCCTGGCTTGAGCACCGGCCTAACGCTTATGATTGCGAAACCAGCTCTTGAACAACACGCTTGGACCATTGATTAAGCCATCGCGATTGCGAACTGCCCTCTCTCCCCCACCCGGAGAGTCGGATACGACCCACGGTGGCGTCCGTGGGCCCCGCCACCGCGTCGCCGGCGTGCCCCGCGGCGCGCGGCTGGCGCGGCGGCGGAAGGGAACGTTGCGGAACGCTGCGAGAGAGGAGGAGGATGAGGAGGAGGAGGAGGAGGAGGAAGAGGAGGAGGAGGAGGAGCAGAAGCAGGAGCAGGAGCAGGAGCAGGAGCAGGAGCAGGAGGAGGAGGAGGAAGAGGAGGAGGAGGAGGAGGAGAAGGAGGAAGAAAAAAAATAGAAGAAGAAAGCGAATACGAATAATAAGAATAAGAAGACGAAGAAGACGAATCATAATAATAACAAGAAACAATAACAAGAAGAGGAGGAGGAGGAGGAGGAGGAGGAGGAGGAGGAGGAGGAGCACGGCTACGCGCCAGGAGGGCGAGGAGGATGTCTCCTGGAGAGGAGGAGAAGGTTTCTTGGAGAGGAGGAGGAGGAGGAGGAGGAGGAGGAGGAGCAGGAGCAGGAGCAGGAACAGGAGCAGGAGCAGGAGCAGGAGCAGAAGGAGGAGGAGGAGGAGGAGGAGGAGGAGCACGGCTACGCGCCAGGAGGAGGAGGAGGAGAAGCAGGAGGAGGAGGAGGAGGAGGAGGAGGAGGAGGAGGAGGAGGTCTCCTGGAGAAGGGGAGGAAGAGGAGGAGGAGGAGGAGGAGGAGCAGGAGGAGGAGGAGAAGGAGGAGAAGGAGGAGGAGGAGGAGGAGGGGGAGGAGGAGGAAGAGGAGCAGGAGGAGGAGGAGGAGGAGGAAGAGAAGAAGGAGGAGGAGGAGGAGGAGAAGGTGCCGCAATTTTGGATGCACCATTGCCCGCAACATCGAGGCAAGATCTACGGACGTCGCTGGACATCTCTGGATGCCGCCCTGGAGGTCCCCCCGACGCAATTGGAGGCCTTCAGAGCGAAAGGCGACCCGTCGACGCCACCCTGTGGGAAGGCGGGGGCGGGGCGGTCGACGACGACGACGACGACGACGACGAAGACCACGACCACGACCACGACCACGACCATGACCATGACCATGACCACGACCCCGATTACGATCACGACCACGATAACAACCACGACCACGACCACGACGACGGCAGCGGCCACGACGGCGGCGACCACGACGGTGGCAGCGAGGACAGTTGCGGCGACGACGGCGGCATCGACGGCGACGGCGGCGACCACGACGGCGGCGTCGGCGGCCCCAGGGTCGGCAGAGAATGGCCCAGGGAGAGAAGCCGGTCCCGGGGAAGGCGCGGAGGCCTTTAGGGGGGGGGGGGGGAGCGCCGCTTGAAGCAGACTGTCGCGGCGCGGAGGGCTTTGTGGTGGGCTGGAGGGCGGCCGGGCGCCCGCAGGCGCAGGCGCAGCTGCAGAGCTCGGTGGTGGAGGTGCAGAACCACCTGCGGGCCGCCGGGCTGGCCTCCTCGTCCTCACGGGGAGGGGGAGGGAGAGAGAGGAGGAGAAGGGAGAGGAGGCGGGACGGAGGCTCGCTTACTTTCATTCGATTCTCGTAGCCTTGTCTTTACTGCTGCTGCTGCGCCCGCCAGGCTTGATTGGGTTGCTATCGGTCCAAGTCGGCTTACTGTACTTTTTTTGCACACCCAGAACGCAACGATCCCAGATCCATGTCCGTGCAACGTCGAAAAGGGCGTCGGGGCAGAGGGAGGGGGGTGGGGAGGTTTTTTGTTGGCAAGAGCCGCCTCACAGGCGGCCAGTACCAGGTCTACCCGCACCCCCGATCTCTTGGGATGGAACTTGACAGAGCCTGGGCCATATCTCCTCGTGCCGAGAATGACCCGCAGACCAAGACTTGGTGTCTTTGCCTGGATCCGATGCTCTGGTCAGGAGGCAGTGCGGGCATGAGCATGGGCCCCCCTTGCCCCGCAACTGTCAGCCAGAGGTGTAAAAGAAACAGAGCTGGCAGAAGCAAGCGAAGCTGCCGTCGCTGCAGTCGGCCACGATACACTTCTGACCGAGCTCATGCAGCCGCCTCGGGTCAGCGCGCAGCCTGTTTGAGCAGTGCCCAGAAAGAGGGCACTTAGTAGCGCGCGAGTTCTTTAAGACACCCGCTGTGCTGCCAAAACTTACCGACCCAGTTCCATTGGTGCGGCGGCCTCGCGCCTTTCTGAGCAGGGGGGGGCAACACGCTGAACCCCATCGAGATCAATGCGAGGCTATCTATCCATAAGATTCGGTGAAATAATCGTGACTGCTTGAGCCACCTTCAGAATGAAGTTCGAGGCCTCAGTTTCGGCATCCGAGAACCTTGGGTGCATCAGAGCACCCTCTTTAGCCGCGGCGTCAGCAGCAGCATTCTATCCGATGATGTGCAAACGATCGGCCATAGGCAAAGACAAGTCGTCCTCCTGGTGGGCCCGAACCTTGGAAACACCCTGAAGACGACCTTGAGAAAAAAATAGTCTGCATCACAAGCCCACTGTAGGGCAAGTGAGAGCGCAGAGAATCTTGAGGATTCTTGGACAACTCATTGGCCACTACCTGGCAGTCTGAGTAAAAGGCTCTCTGGCCAGTCAAGAGCGCAGAAGCACAAGCAGGGGCCGCAAACTCGACGACAAGTCTGGTCTGGGGGTAGAAGCCACCAAAAGGGCCGAACATCTGAGCAAGCACCCTGCCGGCTTCCGTGAGACCGCTGCCCGGCCAGACCGAGACAGCTTCTTCACAGCAGGGCGCATGCACGAGCCATCCCCGTTGAGTCAGCCCGGCAGCTCCCTCACCCCCGGGGTCGGGGGAGGAATCCCTGCCTCGGCCGAAGGCCGCGGGGAGGCCCTCGGACCGAACGGCGTCCCTGGCCTGGTTCTGCGAGAGGGGCGCAGCAGCGCTCTGTCCGGGTGCGGAAGCAGCCCCCTTAGGAGGACGAGGGGGAGGAGGAGGAGAAGGAGGAGGAGGAGGAGGAGGAGGAGGAGGAGGAGGAGGAGGTGGAGGAGGAGGAGGAGGAGAAAGAGGAGGAGGAGGAGGAGGAGGAAGAGGAGGTTGAACTCGAAACCAGGGGATGGATTCTCGACCTCGGCCCTCACATACAGTGGCGACGCGCACCAAGAAACCATCTGCGTTCCGTCAGGATATTCTGGGTTTCTTCGCTCCGCGCGCTGCGCGGTGACTTCCCGCGGCCGTCAAGGAGGCTGCTGCGTTAAGGGTGCTCCATGTTTCCCCTCAGTTGCACGTCGCGCGCGAGTTTTCAGGGTTGGGTTTCTTGCGAGGGTTTCTTGCGAATGCGTCCGCACTGTAGGTCAAGCGGGCCTCCCCGATCAACTGGACTCTTCACTCTTCGCAGCAGGGGCAAGCCCGGAGACGGCGGACGATAACGTCCCCGAGCTGGCTGCAAAGCGGACTCCTGTCCTCGATCGGGTATCCCAGAGAGACCGCCCTACTGAGAGGCCAGACGGCCTGGCGCGTGACAGCGCGGACAGCCCCCTGCTTAGGAGACAGTGCCATGGTTGCCAAGAAGGTCCACAGCACAACGGCAACCCAAACTCGTTCTCCTATTCCCTGCTCGTGACCAGTTTCAACCTCAAGAGCCCTCAGGATCGAGTTCTTGAGAACATGCTTTTCCAAAAGGGCAGGAGGAGTGAGCAGGAGCGGAACAGTGGACCCACTATCGTCCACCATCATCGGCGTCGTCGTCGGCGTCTGGTCTGTCGTCGTCCTCTGTCGTCTGTCGTCGTCGTCTGTCGTCGTCGTCGTCGTCGTCGTCGTCGTCGTCTGTCGTCTCGTCGTCGTCGTCGGCGTCGGCGTCGGCGTCGGCGTCGGCGTCGCTGGCCTGCCGGCAGCTGGCTTCGGCCCCGCCGCTGGGCGCTGCTCTCCTTGCTGCGGTGGTGCCTCCTCTGCGCCGGGGGGCGCCCGAGAAGTCCGCCGCGCGAGCCGACTCGCTGGGCTCCCCCTCTGAGGGAGGAGGAGCAGGAGGAGGAGGAGGAGGAATGGGCTCGTTTCGGTTCCTCCGATTCGATTCGATTCGATATCGATGGCTTCCGATTCCGATTCGGTTCGACTTGGATTCCGATGTGGGTTCCGACTCCTTATTGGAGGCGTACCAGCCCGCCGATTTCCGCCGATTCGACTTTTCCCGACGCGGCTGCCGATTTTGGCCGGTTCGATTCATTTCGATCGCCGATCTGCCTTGTCGATTCGATTCTGGGCTCTCCTGCCTCTGCGGCCAGTGGCTTTGGCTCAGCGAGTCGAGGAGGAAGAGCTGGGAGGACTGGGGAAGGGGAGGGAGAGAGGCGGGAGGGAGGGAGGTGGGAGGGAGGTGGGAGGGAGAGGGGGGGGGGGCCTCCTCCTCCTCCTCCTCCTCCTCCTCCTCCTCCTCCTCCTCCTCCTCCTCCTCCTCCTCCTCCTCCTCCTCCTCCTCCTCCTCCTCTCCGTAGCCATTTTGGCTCAAGGTTTTGTGTTTCCCAGGGAAACATGTGGATACCGCTAGTCCGCGGCTAGACCCCAGTCTTTTCATCGCACCGCTGCGTGAGCCGCCCCAGGCGACGCAGCTTCCTGTTTCGACTCACGGCGCAGGGATGGCGCCCAGCCCGTGGCACACGGAGGCCAAAGCAGATTGGATGTGCAAGTTTTGTACTTTCCGTCGCACTGGTGGTCTCCCTCTCATTAATTATGGCAGCAATGAGAAGTACTTCAAGTGCAAGCTCCACAAGGGCGTGTGTTTCAAGCAGGTTGTGCCCGAGGACGCCCCGAGCCGCAGCACCAAGCGCAAGCCCGCGCTCGAGCCATCGGCAGCTTGGCAAAGCTCGAGAAGCGTCTGCAGTCGCTCGAAGCAGAGAGCCAGCGCCTGCGGGCGCTTCAGGACGGAGGGACGGCTGCGGATGAGGCTAATGGAGCTGATGAGTTACCTGAAGAAATCGACGGTCTGGTCAAACATGTGCAGCGGCTTGAATCCATCAAGCTGCCCTGGGCTGCTCAGCCGCTCCTGGTGGCACGAGAGCAGCTGGAGGCAGCACGTCGGAAGTTATATGGCACTAAGCCCTTACCAGCTGAGCTTACGGCGCTTTCGAGACGAGCTGAGCAAGCCCGTCAGCGTCTGCAGAAGGCCGAGCAGGACAAGATCGCAGCAGACAAAGCTCTGGCAGCAGCACAGCTTGCAGCCACTTCGGCGGCGAACGTCGTCGAGGAGCGCAAGAAGGCTGTGGAGGATCTGGAGGAGGAGGTCAGGGCTCTGTCTTCGCAGCCTGCCCCGCAGCCGATGGCAGTGGACCTCACGGGGCCCGAGTTCCACATCTGCGAGGAGAAGCTGCTGGCCTGCCTGGGATCCATGGAGGGGGTTGCGGATGCCAGCAAGCTGGCGCCGAAGCTGGTCGAGGCGCTCAAGTCTCGGGCTGCGGAGTTTCTGGAGGAGCCTCCCGAGAAGAAGACAAAGCGTGAGACATCCCAGCCACCCTCGCAGGAGCAGGGCACACGTACACCACAGCCCAGTGAATGGAAGTTCGCAGAGTTGGATGTGGAACAGCTACGTCAGGACGTGGGTGATTTCGTTGCCGAGAACGCTGAGGAAGCCACCTTGCGTGAGAAGGCCATGCAGTTGGCGGCAGGAGGCTACAGGCCGCCACGGCTACATCATCCCTACTGATTGCCCCCGCATGCTGGACCTCGGCATGTTTGGGGGCAACAATTTGGTTCATTACCGTTGTGAAGCTGGCTTTACCTCGTCGCCTTTGCTCGACAAAGCTCCTCAAAACGTTAAGTCAGGACCAAAGCCTCACGGTGGCATGGGTCTTCCTGCTGTTACGCATGGAAGCGCAAGCTTGCCTGATTAATCAGAGTTACGGCTGTGCAGCTACAACCAGCAGGACATCGAGACCATCAGCACCGCTGCCCCTTCCTCCTGTGGGGTGTCGGGAGACGAGTCGTCTGCATCGCGGTCGTCGCCGGCCTCGAGTTCGATTCAAGATGCGGCCCGAGCGCTGCGGTGGGCAGCAGATTTCGAGGCCCCTTCGTCCCGCGCGCACCAGTCGGACTTCACGTTCGTGACCTACAACGGGAATGCGTGGGCCACGACTCGAGCTTTCCTGGAGTGGCTGGTGCTGGACAAGTGCATGCAACCCGATATGCTACATGTGCAAGAGCATAGGCTCAGAGGGGGAGATCAATTCAAGAGTGCTCAGAGCTGGGCACGTGCTCGTGGATGCCGCTTCCTTGTCAATGGCTGCCAAATCACTGGAAGCACGGCGACGGCCACCTCGGGCGGTGTCGGCATCCTGAGCCTCAGTAGTTTACCAAGTGTCCCCTATCAGCCGACGGGGGAGTACGCCAAGTCACGCATGTTCTTTCAACGGACGGTGATTGGTAGCATGCAGATTTTGATAGTTTCCGTTTACGGCATCGCCAGCGTGGGCCAGTCAGGCAACCACGAGCTTTTCGCGGCACCAGTTCAGATTTTGAGGGAATCGTGCCTCCCGTTTGTTGTGGCAGGCGACTGGAACGTCGAGTCTGAGTGTTTTGGTCGAGATACCTTTCTCCGAGTTGGCTTCCTCGGTCTTTTACGCGCTGAGATCGTCCACGGAGGAGGGCCAACTTGCAGCGAATCGCACTGCGACTACTACATTGTCAGCGACATCTTGCTCCCCTTTCATCGGGGGCGTGGGTGTGATCGACGACGCTCCCGTGGGTCCCCGCAGGGCGGTAGTGCTGAGGCTGTCAGGGCTCGGCGGTGCCAACTTTGTTTATCGTCGAGTGCAGCAGGATAAGTTGTTGCTACCCTCTCCATGGGCAACCTTTTGCTCCTGGCGACGTTTCGACTCGGCCAGGCTTTGAGCTGGGGGAAAACGAATCGCTAGGCAGGCTTGCGCGCAGGTAATATTCTTCGGCCGAACTCTACCTCTGCCTTTTTCTGGTTATCCCCGTCGCCGAGAGACCGAGATGTTGCGGTCGAGCGGCTGGGTGCAGACTCGAGAAAGTTCCCGTGGCCTGCGAATGGGGAAGGAGCCTCCGCAGGAAGGCTAGCCCCACCACCCAGCGTTGGCTCTCTGTCAGGCGCCTCGCTATGCAAGGGCTGAGAACGGAAGGCAAGGACTCTGAACCTCAGCTAGCACAGCAAGCCGTTGCAGCGCGCATGTTGTCTGAATGCGCGGGAGTCTGGGACGGCCTGGAGAGCGTGGGTGGGTGGGTGGGTGGGTGGGCGCGTGTGTGTGTGTGTGTGTGTGTGTGTGTGTGTGTGTGTGTGTGTGTGTGTGTGTGTGTGTGTGTGTGTGTGTGTGTGTGTGTGTGTGTGTGTGTGTGTGTGTGTGTGTGTGTGTGTGTGTGTGTGTGTGTGTGTGTGTGTGTGTGTGTGTGTGTGTGTGTGTGTGTGTGTGTGTGTGTGTGTGTGTGTGTGTGTGTGTGTGTGTGTGTGTGTGTGTGTGGTGTGTGTGTGTGTGTGTGTGTGGTGGGGGGGGGGGGGGGGGGGCGGGGAGGGGGGGGGGGTGCGCGGGGTGGGGTGGGAGGGGGGGGGGGGGGAGGGGGGAGGGGGGGGGGGGGGGGGGGGGGGGGGGGGAAGGCGGTGACTGTGAATTCGCTCGGAGATTTTATGTCAGGCTTGAGAGATCCTGTCAAGCGGGCCCAGGTCTGCAAGCGCCCCCAGGACCAGGTGCTGACGCACACTGCAGTTGATGCAGCCGCCGCCAAGCAGAGCTGGAAGGAGTATTCGGAGCTGGCTTTCGCCAATGGGGCCAGCCTGGCCCACCGTTGCTCAAAGGCCCCAAAGGGGTCACGGCCGCGGACCTGGCCCAAGGTTTACCTGTCGTTGGGCACGAAGCGCTGCAAGAGATGTTGAAAGAGTGGTCCAGCCTTTGGGTCGTGCCAGCCAGGTCTGATGAGCCCCGCCCTCTGGATTGGGATGTATCCCAGGCCGAGCCGCTGCCTCAGTTCACGGACGACGATGTGAAGGCGGCGCTCAGCTCCTTTAAGAGCAAGGCGGCTCTGGGCTGGGATTGTTTCCATCCGAGGTGGTTTGATCGATTGCCCCCCGTCCTTGTTTCGACCCTGACCCTCCTCCTCCCCTCCTGGGAAAGGAATCCAGAGCTCGCAGACGTCTGGCTGACCCTTATAGTTTTCCTGCCCAAGGTCCCAGGAGGAGTAAGGCCAATCGGTCTGCCCCCCTTTTTTCGCGCGCTTGTGGTCCCGCCGCAGGCGCCGTGCCGTTGCAAAATGGGAGTCAACTCTACCAGACACCTTCTTCTGGGGAGGCTCATCGGAGACCTCGTGTGATAAATCCGCTTGGAGTCACAATGTTCTAGCAAGTGCCGCCCCTGAGTTTAACCTCGTCAGTGCTAGCGCGTTCATAGATCCCAGGAAGCTGTATGACATGGCGTCTCATGCCGAGTTGCTGTGTGCGTCTAGGGACACTGGTTGTCCTGAAAATCTTCTGGGGCCGCTTTGCGCACTGTATAGAGGGCCCAGGCGGGCCTCCTACCAGAACTCGGCGTGCCACGAGATCCACGCCAATGGGACGATTGTTACTGGATGTTCGTGTGCCACTGGGCTAGCAAAGCTCATGACGGTGACGGTTCTACGGCATGTAGGGGCTAGGTGCATCTCCATCGGAATCAAAACTTGGTTGATGATCTAAGTTTGCACTCGGTCGGAGGCCCGCAGACGGTCGCTAGGGAGCTCAGTTTCGCTTTCAAGGAGACGGTGGGCCTACTTCAGGCTCGGGGTTTGCCGCCGTTTTGGGACAAGATGGGATTTCTGTGCAATGACGCTGAGACCTTCAGCCTGATCGAGGACGAGGTTGCTGATTTATGGCCTACTGGAGTTCTCTTTCCAGGTCGGGGTCGATTTCACAGAGACCTTGGGGGAGATGCTGCCGGCGGGCGTTATAGGCGCATAGGAACACAGCTATCTCGCATTCGGGACGCCATGACTAAAGGAGACAGGCTTCTGGCGCTCAAAGGGTTGGGAAGACAACGCTCGGCGGTTCATCGCTCGGGGGTCCTCGCAAAGGCTTTATGGGGATGCTCTATCGCTGGGGTACCCAACAGCAGGATCCAGCAGCTCAGGATGTAATTTCTCAACGCGGGCGCTCGGTTCAAGCCTGGAGCCTCAGTGGGCCTCTCTCTTATGTGTGCCGAGAGCGGTTGGCACAACGATCCCCTGGTCATCGCCACGTCAGATGCCATCCACACTTACCTTGTCACCATGTCCAATGGGACGATTATTACATCCTCAGTGTCGGCCTTGATGGCTGCGACGCTTCCGATCCTGGACGACCCCCAGACATGGCTGAAGCGCAAGAACCCCATTGCGGCGCTCATGATCAGCCTGCACAGGATTTGTTGGAAGCTGCTGGACCCGTTTACGCCACTGGACGACGAAGGTCGCTCATGGGACCTCAAATTCTATTCGGCCAGTTGGATAGCGCACGTAGTCAAGCTGGGGGTCAGACGTCAGGTCGACCGTGATGCGCTCACCACTTTGCAAGGAGCAGGCACCACCAGGACAGGGCCCATCGCTTGGCAGTCGATCTTGGAGGCGCTGCACGGCAAGCGCCTCGCGTCCCACCAGAGGAACTCGCTTCGGGGTGTGATCACTGGAAGTCATTGGACACAAGTTCGTATTGCTCGAGCCTTCGCAGGGCACTCCTCGCTTTGCGCCAGATGCCAGGCAGCGCCTGGCACCCCGCTTCATCGTTGCTTTGAGTGTGACGCCTTTCATGCCCGACGGCAGCTGCTCACACCGCCTTAAGTTCAGAGGTCGGCGCAGCGAATGGGGTGCGAGGCGGAGGACAGACAAGAGCGATTCGCCCGAGGTCTTCTCCCACACCCAGGGCAGGCCTTCCACGGAGCAGGCCGAACCAGCCAACATGACATGATTGACGTGGATCGCCGAGGCGTGACGGCGGTCAACGGAGGCTATGTTTTCGTCGACGGGAGCGCGCGGTCAGTTCGAGTGCCTGAGCTGCGGTCCGTTTGTTGGGCTGCCGCTGTCTACGATTCGGACAAGCGACGAGTGGCTCGATACTGCGGTGCTGTTCCTCGCCGCGAAGGGCCCAGTCAAGTGGCTCGAGACGGAGAGGATTATGCTATCATGAAGGCAAGCGAGCTGGTCATGGGTTCGCACCAGGTTAATTCGGATTGCAAGGGTTCGGCCGGCTGTTGTCACAGGATGGCGGCAGCGTGTGGACCAGGCAATCTACGAGCGCACATGTGGAGGAGGACGGCGATGAATGGCGGTTTCTGCAAGGCACCCGTGTCTCACGTGAAGGCACACACCAGCATGGAGGATGTCAGGGACGGCGTCATCAGCTTGTTCGATCGAGCTGGGAACGCCGAGGTCGACGAGTTGGCCAAAGCAGGGGCATCCTTCCATGCAGCGGCGGAAGCTCATGAGAAGCTTGTTCGTGGCGCGATGCGCCTTCACCAGATGCTGCTGAGATACATCGCCCAGTTTGCGGTCTGGTTCCACGAGCAGGGCGACGACTTCAAGGATTACCTCTTCCCCGACCCCGAGGAGGACGACTTGGCTACACTTCAGCAGCAGGCGGCGGCGAGGGAGCCCCTCTTGCCCTGGCCGTGGTTGGTCCAGACACATGCCCTGCTGGAGTACCCCGTGGTCG